GATCTTGCTTCGTGCATGTTATGGGTGATGAGAAGAGGAGGTGCGTGATAGTTCGAGCGAGAATATATTAATATCACATTCCAAGATATCAATTATGCTTGCAAGCTGAGCATAATGCGAACAGGCTTATTTGTTAATATAAACATAAATAAAACAACAGAGGCTGCAGTGAAACGAAAGAAGGAGCATTCGAGCGTATGTGACAGTGATGTGAAAGAGGATCAAGTAGCACTTCGACTCACACTCTGGTCCTCGGTGCCGAATGGAACCAGTAAAGACGGGCCTCGAGTTGGAGAGGGGGGGGGAGGTGGCTGGGGTCGGACACGAGGGGTCTGGCGGGGCGGGGGGCGTGTGGGTGGGGGGGAAGGAGGGGTGGTAGAGGTGAACTTGGCACTCCCGCGGTTCGCAGTGGGGGCGAACTCACTATTGAAAGGGACATTTGTTACGGGGAGAGGCTGGGGAAGGGGAGCTTGCGTGTTGGGGACCAGGAAGGAGGAGGGCCTTTGGAAGGTGGCTCCAGCGGAGGCAGGAGCAGGCGGGGGTTGGGGGAAAGCTGGGGATGCCTGTTGGCAGTGGGGCGAGAGCGTGGGGCCTGGGTAGAGCGGGAGCGAGGGCGAGAGGAGGTAGTGGGGCGGCCTCTAGTGCGGCTAGGGCGAGATGCGCGGGGAGGGGACCTCGTAGTTGGGAGAGGGGCGTTGGTGGCAGGGCGGTGGGTAGTGATGGCAGGTTGAGTAGTTTGGAAGAGGGGATGGGGTGAAGCAGTAGTAGGAAGGGGGAAATTAGAAGCTGGGCGGTGGGTTGTGATAGCGGGTTGGGCACTCGGGAAAACAGGTTGAGAGGAAGCGGTAGCAGGGAGAGGGAACCTGGACGCAGGGCGATGGGTTGTGATAGCAGGTTGGGCACTCGGGAAAACGGGTTGAGGAGAAGCAGCAGTAGGAAGAGGGAACCTGGCAGCAGGGCGATGGGTTGTGATGGCGGGTTGAGGGGTCGCGTTGGCAGGAATAGAGGACGGGGTGGTTGGGAATGAGGAAAACTGAGAGGAAGGACTAGTGAGGGTGGATCCACTGTTGGCACTGATTGGGAAGAGTGGTTGACTGTTTGGAATACGGAAAGGTATTTGGCTGTTAGTATCAGGGAACGATGCTTGGTTATTCGTATTAGTCAGCAGTGTCTGGCTGTTAGTGTTAGGGAACAGTGCTTGGTTGTTAGTGTTAGTGAATGGTGCTTGGGTAATGGCACTTTGGAATGCTTGATTTGTATTAAATGCTGGTAACTGGTTAGCATTTGCGAATATTGGTGTTTGACTTTGACTGTTTGAAGTAAATGTGTTATTGTGGTTGGAGAATGGTGACTGGTTGGCAGTGGCAGCAAATGGTGTTGAAGAGAATGATGGTGAAGAGAAATGTGTTGTAGTGGGTACTGGTGATGCAGAAAATGGTGTTGTTGTGAAGAAGAAAGGAGTTGTATTGGATACAGGTGATGCTGGAGATCCTTGAGATGTGGAGTGGAAGAATGGTGTTGTGGGTACTGGTGATGTTGAAGACGGTGTTGTTTGTGAGAAAGGAGTAGTTGTGGGTACTGGCGATGCTTGAGATGGTGTTGTTGATTGGAAGAATGGTGTATTGCTGGGGACTGATGCTGCTGTAGATGGTGTTGTCGATTGGAAGAAGGGTGTTCTATTGGGCACTGATGAAGCTGAAAATAATGGCTGGGAGGATGTTGTGGGTACTGGTGATGCCGGAGATGGTGTTGTTGACTGGAAAAATGGTCTTGGTGTTGTTGGAGATGTCGAGTGGGAAAAAGGTGTTGTAGTGGGCACTGGGCTCGCTGGAGATGGTGTTGTTGACTGGAAAAATGGTCTCGATGTTGCTGGAGATGTCGAATGGGAGAAAGGTGTTGTGGGTAAGGGGGTTGCTGGAGACGGTGTTGTCGATTGGAAGAAAGGTGTAGGCGAGAATGCGGCCTGGCTGTTTGCATTAGAGAGTAGTACTTGGCCATTTGAAGTGATATTTGGAGGCTGACTGTTGGGATTCGAGAATGAAGTTTGTCCACTGTTAGGGAACAGGAACTGGCTACTTGTATCAGCAATGGATATCGGGCTCTGTGTGGTAACAACTGGAATTTGGCTATTTGTATCAGGCAGTGGTGATTTGTTTTCTGTATTGGGGATCAATGACGGACTACCAGTTCCAGAGAACAAATTGCTACCGGTACTTGTAAAAGGCAACTCGGTTTTGGTGTCAAAGAAAAATCCTTCAATGTTACTAGGGAAGAAGGGATTGTCAGCTGAGCTAATGAATGAGCCGTCTTCTGTGATGAATGTCGTTTCTATGAAAGGTTTGCCCTGAAAGTGTGGATCGCTGTTGTGGAAGGAGAATGGAGAATTACTGACGATGTCGGCAAATAAATCGTCCCTAGACGTTGTAGGATCTCTGTCCGACGCACTGTCGATTGTGACTAAAGATCCACTGTCTTGGAATGGGGCCTCAGAGGTAGTTATAAATGGCTGATTGGTACCTGGGATTGGTGATTCACTGTTGGTTATGATGAAAGGCTGGTTAGTACCGAGGACAGTCGAGTCTGTGTTGGTGATAATGAATGGTGAATTAGTAACCGGTGATTCAGTTACAATGAATGGTTGGTTGTTATGTGAGACTGGCGAATCATTGCCACTAAATATGACTTGGCCTTCATTGGGAACTGAAGACTCAGTGTTGGTTATAATGAAAGGCTGATTAGGGTTCGTTGCAGGAGATCCAGTACTAGATATAATGGATGGCTTCCGGCTGCCAGAAATTGGAGATTCAGTAGTTTTTGCAATAAAAGGCTGCTTATTTTGATCCGGGGATTCTGAACTATTTACAGGTGATTCATTACTTGTTTCAGTGGCTGCCTGAGTCTTCTGAGGGACAACTGGTTCAGGTGTGGTTATAATCAGTGGCTGAATGTTGTCAGATGGTGTTGTGTCATCACCGTTTTGTGTAAAAGATTCATCAACAATAGGTACAGATGAGACGTCTTGTGTATTACCTGACTCGCCACTTGAAGAGGATTGGTTTTCAAAGACAGAAAACGTGTTTGGATCATGTGACTGCCTGTCCTCATTAGCAAACAGCTGATTGTTAGGTGACCGATTCCCAGAGGGTGACTGGTCTTTGTTAGAGAATGGGAGTATGTTTTCACTGGAAAACGATGGTCGATTGTTTCCATGAGACTGTCTGTTATCATCATTGGAGTGATGTTTGTTATCATCATGGAATGGTTGTTGGCCCTCATTACCAAATGGCTGTATCTTTTCATCATGAAATTGTGATTGTCTGTTCTCGTTATTAGATAACGATTGTTCATTGTCAGTGTTGAATGGTTGTTTGTCATCCTTGCCAAACTGTGACTGTCTATTGTCATTGCTAAATTGTGGTTGTCTGTTTTCATTGTCAAATTGTGGTCTGTTATCATTGCCAAACTGTGGTCTATCATTGCCAAATTGTGGTCTATCATTGCCAAATTGTGGTCTATCATTGTCAAATTGCGGTCTATTATCATTGCCAAATTGTGGTCTGTTATCATTGCCAAACTGTGGTCTATCATTGCCAAATTGTGGCCTATGATGGCCAAATTGTGGTCTTTCATCACTGCCAAATTGTGGTCTGTTATCATTGCCAAATTGTGGTCTGTCATTGCCAAATTGTGGTCTATCATTGCCAAATTGTGGTCTATCATTGTCAAATTGTGGTCTATCATTGCCAAATTGTGGTCTATCATTGTCAAATTGTGGTCTATTATCATTGCCAAATTGTGGTCTGTTATCATTGCCAAATTGTGGTCTGTCATTGCCAAATTGCGGTCTATCATTGCCAAATTGTGGTCTATCATTGCCAAATTGTGGTCTCTCAAATTGTGGTCTATCATTGCCAAATTGTGGGTCAAAATCATTGCCAAATTGTGGTCTATCATTGTCAAATTGTGGTCTATTATCATTGCCAAATTGTGGTCTGTTATCATTGCCAAATTGTGGTCTGTCATTGCCAAATTGCGGTCTATCATTGTCAAATTGTGGTCTGTTATTATTGCCAAAATCACTGCCAAATTGTGGTCTGTTATCATTGCCAAATTGCGGTCTATCATTGCCAAATTGTGGTCTGTTATCGTTGTTAAATTGTGGTCTGTTATCACTTCCAAATTGTGGTCTGTTATCACTTCCAAATTGTGGTCTGTTATTGCTGAATTGTGGTTGTTTATTATCAATACCTAACTGTGGTTCTCTGTTAGCATCATCTAATGGCGAGTGTCTGTTATCAGTGTTAAATGATGATTGTTTGTTATCAAAAGATGACTGCCTGTTATTTGAAAGCTGTTGTTGGTTGTTAATGTTATCAGAGGAGAATGTTGACTGTGTGTTACCGTTTGAAAATGGCGGTTTGTTTTTGTTGTTAGAAAGCTGTGATTGGCTATTATCGAAAGGCTGATTGTTATTGTTGCTGAAGGGTGGCTGGTTATGAGTGCTTGAGGAGGAGGATTGGCTATTAGGGAAAGCTGGTGTGCTGTGAGTGGTCACATGGCCATCCATAGACAAGAAGAAGAATGCACTATCTCCGTCCTGCATATGGCCGGGCAAGGAACCAGGACGAGGTTTATTCGTCGTATGAAGCAGCGAAGGATCGGCTGAGGAGGATTTGTTGTCTAAGATTGCACCTGATGGACGGTTGGAGGAGATTAAGACTGGTCTGTCACCAGAGGGTCTCGAGGGGAACTTGATTAGAGGATTTGGATTGGGCTTGGAGGATGAAGGGAAGGGAGGTAGGCTATTGCTCACCGAAGATGGGAAATGGGAAGGCGTGGGGGCAGGTGGGGCGTCCGCAGACCCCTCTGATGGGCTGTCCTTATCTGGAGATGGACGGACAGAGAAGCGAACGTCACCTCGCCCATCGAAGGCATTCTGGGAGGGTATGGACTCGAGTGATGGGGGACCCGGTCTGCTGGAGGGTGAAGGAAGCCTGCTGGAATCTTGGCCATCGCTTCTACTGGGGAGGTTGGGCTCAACAGCTCTTGTTGGGATCACTGGCTCTTGGTGAGATAAGTGGTTTCTATCGCCATCGAAGGGTTTTAAGGGTTTGGAGCTAGTGATGCGATCATTGTTGCTAAAATGTGGCTGGATACTGGCTGGTGCTGGGGGTCCCGTTCCCAACTGATTAGAGAAGGGTGGGTCGGTAGACACAATGATGGGATCTTGGGTTGTGAAAGGTTGAGGTGGTGTTGTAGGGGATTTAGTTGTTGGTTGTTTTGTGGTAGTTGGATTTTTGTTGATCAAAGTGCTTAATATGCCTGCAAGAGTAGATGTTCTTGGTCTAGCTGTAGTAGGTGAGGGAGGCAGGAATGGTCGCAGAGGACTTCCTCTGTTTTGTTGAAAGTTATTTTGTGGAGGTGGACTACCTGGAGAAGGTGTAGAGGGGACAAAGGGAGCAGATGGTGGAGTTAGACTTTCGAAGGGCCTCAGTAGGATAGACTGTCTTGTAGATGGATTTTCAGGAGGTATCAAAGTGGTAGGAGGAGTAAAACCACTGACTGGAGCATTGAAAAATTCGTCATGAATTATAGGGCGACCTTCCAAAAAGGGAGAGGGATGGAGCGATTTAACAGGGGGAGAAATTGTTGTTGGAACAGAGAATTTAGGAGAGATACTAGGAGTATCATTCCTTTGATTGAAGAACCTTGTTGACTGAAGTTTGAAATTAGGGGTAAATGAAGTAGTGCCAATAGGAGATGGCGGGTTAGTTGTTGGAATTAGAGAGAGACTAGGCCTTTTAGGCACCACCTTCTCATTGTTGCTGTTAGAATCATTTCCAAGAAAAGTTAGTAAACTATCTACTGTAATCACTGGGCGAGACGGAACCTGAGTAGTTGTTGATGGAGAGCTGCTAAATGAACCTTGACTAGAAACATCATGATCATTCACAAATTCAATATTTCCAGATCCATGGAGTATTCCAGATCTGCCATTATCATTTTGAAGTGTGAAAGTTGTATGTGTTTGGTCTGGTTGTTGTGGCGGTGATGGTGGTGGCTGCAGTACCACATCCCTTGGAATGAAGCCTTCCTCTGCTGTGATCCTGACTCCGCCTGTAAGTGTTGAAGGTCGATGAACTTCTCGAGGGATAAATCCTGCTTCTGAGGTCACTTGAACATGTCCCAGGGGTCTGTCGGTCTGAGGGGGAATGACATCAGGGAAGGGAGATGAGGATTCTTGATTTACTGGAGATACCACTCTTTCACTAACTGGTGACTGGGGTGGAGACTGATTGCTATTGCTTGGAGAGGCAGGGGCCTGATTCAGGATTGGAAGAGCAACAACGATTATCCTGGGTGTGACGGTGTTCGGTGGGATTGTCGTCTGGAAAGGAGGCTGGGTGGTTTGTGCCTCTTGTTTTCTGTTAAATTCAAAGTTAGGTTTTACTGTTGTTGCAAAATCAGGTGAAAAAGTTGTGGTATCTTGGTCATTGACAAAGAATGAATTTGATGGTGGTGTGATTGTCAATGATGGCGGGAATGCGTCTGCATCTTTTATTTCTCCGAAGAAAGGGTTTTCTGGAGTTGTGATTGGGAAGGCTGGTGGGAAAGTTTCAGTTTGTTTTATTTCCTTGTGGAAAAAGTCATCAGGGGTCGTGGTTGGGAAAACTGGTGGGAAAGTTTCCGTTTCCTGGATTTCCTCAAAGAAGGGATTTGATGGTGTTGTTACCGGAAAAGCAGGGGGGAAAGTTTCTGTTTCTTTCCTATTAACAAAAGGTGGGTCTTCCTCAGCAAAGAATGCTTCATCGAAGTCACTGTTGTGCGAGGGTCTTGGTGTATGACTGTGGCTTGTTGTTTGGTGTAGCTTTGGGTTAATGGACTGTTTTTGGTTATCACCAAATGGAGAAAAGGTAGTGTGGACAAAGTTCTGAGAATTTCTGAATCTGCCTGAAGATGATTGAGTTGATTCTTCAAAATCAGCAAATGTAGTTGGAGGAGTTGTATCCAAATCAAAATCAAAGCCAGTGAAGGTGGAAATTCCACCAGCTGAAGGTGATTCTGTGAAAAACCGTGTCGGTGAAATCGTCGTAGCAGAAGTTTCAAATTCAAAAGGTTTAAATGTGGATGAAGGTTTAGGTGGTTCTGGGGTATCAGGCTTCAGAGGTCGTGTGACAGGTTGGACTGTAGCATCTTCATTGTTAGAGAAAGCAGCCACTTTGCTGGCCAAGGTTGAGCGATGGTGAGGACGCTCTGTAATTCGAGGAAGCTGTGTTGGCCTGTGCCTGTTCTCAAACCTAACTCTTCCCCGAGATGTGACTGTGGAGAATTCTTGCAAGGTAGTTTCTTCCTCTGGAGTAAAGGTTGTTCTCTCTAGATCAGATCTTAATGTTGTATCAAAGAAGTCCTGAGTGGTTTGCTCGAAACCTGAGAAGGTTACATCCTCTTCCTGTGGAAGTGTTGTAAATTCTGTGACTGTAGTTGTGGGCACATGTGTTGTTACTTCCTCAAACTCTGTTGTAAATCTTGGAAGGGTTGTTGGCTTTCTCCTCCTAGGTGTGCTAACCCTGTTATTTTGTACCCTTTTTCTGAAACCTTTTCTACGTCCTCTAGGAGTTGTGAATTGATTTCTTCTTGGAGCTGATGTTGAAGACCCAAACCTTCTCCTAGGTGGCTGTACTGGTCTGTTTTCTGGCTCAGTAGCTAATTCTGAGACAGATTCTCGACTAAGTAAAGGTGCCTGAGTTGTTATTTCTTCATTTTGTTTTTCTGAGGGATTTTCAAAGCGAGTAGGACGAGCTGTCAAGGGACGAGATACATTTTGCCTGCGGGGACCACCTGGCCTCTTTCCTGGAAGTCCTGGACGGGGACGACGAATAGGCGGTGGTAGTCGAGATCTAGTGCGTGTAGCTGTATTATCAGTTCGGCTTTCAGGAAGAGGATTAGGATCACTGCGAGAGTTGGTTGAGGGTGGGGGACTAATGAATGCTGGTTTGACCCTTGGAACAGTATGGTCACTGGCAGATGCCTCAGAGGGCTTTGGACTATCTACAGGTCTGAGGAATGTACTAGGGCGTGGCTGGAATCCTTGTGTATTGTCTTCCCTAGTAGATACCACTGGGTTTGTTGCTCTATTCTTTGGTATAAAGTTTGTTGTGGACAATTCTTCTTTATCATTTGAAGTCACTGTGCTTTCTGTTAGGGCTCTGAATTTGTCAAGTCGTGGTGGTGTCCTTGTAGCAAACTTTGGCCTTGTATTGCTTTGCTCAGGAGATGATGTTGTGGTAGGCTCATCAGGCAATGTGGTAGTACTTGCTTTCTTTTCAGCCAAAGCTTTCAACATCTGTTTGTTTAATTCTAAAAACCTTCTTAGTGCTTCACTTTTTGCTCCATTTTTGGGGTCAGGTGCTTGTTCAGTAATGGGCTGAGGTTGTGTTTCTTTTACAACTACAGGATCTAGATCTACTTTTACCGTTTGTGAACGAATCCTTGGAGGTTGAGTTGTAGTGGTGGTGAATGTCGGTATATCATTCTCCCTCTGTGAGTTACTTGTTTTTGTAATACTTCCTGCTGGAGAAGCTCTTTGACTTAGTAAGTCACTCAAGCTAAGCCTCCTTCCAGTAGCAGGTCTTTCTGATGTTGATCGGGCATTGCCAAGTGGAACAAAAGTCCTTCTCTGGGTTGATTGAAGTTGCCTGGTCCTTGGCTGCTCTCCGTCTTTTCCACTGTTCTTCCTGAGCCATGCAAGCCTCTGTCTTTCTCTATCCTCTCTCGACAAAGATGCATTTGCTCCTGAAAGTTCTTCATTTGTTTCAGCATTGGATTCCTTTTCTTCTGGAGAAGTTGTTGGAGTAGTGACTTCAACTGTTGTCTTCCCCTCAGTTGTAGAGAGTTGATTTGTTAGTGTTTTAACTGTATTTTCTGATTTGTTATTTGTTATTAATGGTTCTTTTATCTCAAGAATTTCTATTTTCTCTGTGGTTGTAACTGGAGGTAAAGTTGTAGTTTCCATGGGATCAGTCACTGCTTCAGTAGTAGTTTCAGGAATATCTTCCATTGTCGAATTTTCTGTAACTGAAATACTCTCTGGCTGTTGGGTAGTTTCTGGAGCTTCAGTGAAGTTTTGCACTTTGGAGTATGGTTCTGAAACTGTTAATACAGCTACTTCCATATTCAGTATTGTTGGTGTATTTGTTTCTGTTAACATGATACCCTGAGTACTGGTGGTCTCTTCTGTACTTAGTACACCTTGAGTATCTGAACCCAGTGCTGCAAAAGTAGGAGTCTGAAGGCTTGTGGTAACAATTACTTGCTCAGTAGATGCGGGTTCTAAATCATAATCGAAATCAAAGTTCTGGACCCCAATAACTTCGTGGTTCAGTCCTAGCTGTTCAACTGGATCTGAAGATGAGAGAGAGAAATCTAACACACGGTTCATTGCAGCAAGTTCAGGTCGAATGGAAGTACTGCCGAAACTATGCAGCAGCATATGTAAGTGATTCATAGAAAGTGTAGTATCAACTTCGTTCTCCTCTGTGGGTGTTATATCTCCTTCTGGTGATGTGGTTTCTGGCAGTACTGGTACCTCAGTGATCTGAACAGGTGGTGGGGTTTCTAGAGCATCATCATTAGTAGTGATATAATCCTCTAACTGACTCTCAGGCACTGTGGTCGGTGGTAAATCTGTCGTGGTGATTTTCTGGAATCTTGTGGTTGTGTCCATCATTTTTACAGTTGATACTCTAGGACTGGATGGATTAAATCCTGGGGTTCTTTCAGTTGTCGTGGGTGATTCTGTAGTTGTTGTTGTTCGGTTTGATAGTACAGGTATCTTTATGGGTGAAGGCAGTCTAGAGGTAGTTGGAATATCAGTTGTTGTAGAAGAAGGTACAGCTGTAGATGTAAGTAAATCTACTGTCAACTCAGCATCCTCAGACAGTGTCACAAACTCGGCATCCTCAGACAGTGTCACAAAAGGATCTGTTTCTAGTTCAGAGGCAATTATTTCTTCCGTAGTTAGGACTGTGGTGGGATTATCTGTGACATCTGTCAGCAGTGTTGATTCGGTTGTTACAATCAGTGGAGTGGTTCTTGTTTGACTTCCAGTTAAGCGTGTTTGACTTGTAGTGGGCATCTGCTTTTCTGTTGTTGATTCAAAGTCTTCAATTAATGTTGTTTGTTTTCCTTCTCCTTCTGCTGTGTCTTCAGGCATAATAGTTGTAGTATCAACCATGTCTTCTGGTATTTCTGTTGTGTTTTCAATCAGTGTTTGATGCTCTTTTCCTAGTATTAGTTGTTCATTCGTTACAGCCATACTGTCAGCTACTAGAGCTTGATCACCTGTTCTCAGCTGACCACTAGTTAATTCTTCTGGAATTTCTGTAACCTCTTCTTGATTTTCAGATCCTGTACTAGCTTCTGTGACACTAGTCTGTTCCTCAGGCCCTTCTGCTGATTCTCCAGTAGCAATTGGCTGATCTTTGAATCCTTCAATAGGATCATTATCACCAATAGGCTCTTTTGGAGATTCGGGTTCCTTTGAAGGTTCAGCCAAAACTTCAGTTTGAATAAGATCACTTTCATTTTGAATTACGAGTTCTTGTGGAATCTCTGTAACTTCAGCTTCACCTCTGGCTTCTTCGATGACACTTGCCATCATATCAGCCTGGTCTTCAGATCTGTGTGTATCTTCTCCTGTTTCTGTTGGATTTTGTGCAGTTTCTCCAACAACCTCAACTTGATCTTGTCCTTTGTGAACATCAGTTTGATTTTGGAAGTCAGTCAAGTTATCAGCTACATTTTCAGGCATTTGTATATGTTCGACCTCTATTTGTTTTTCAGGTTCTTGTAGATTATCTTCAGTCACTTCAGCTTGGTCTTCAGGATCAAACAAAGGCTCTGTCATGACCTTGCTTTCGCCATTCACATCTTGTGTTGGCTTAAACACAGGTTCATCAGTGGGAATGATTGTGGGATTTTCCTCCATTGCTTTCTGACTTTCATTTGACTTGGTAAGGCTTCCATGGAGGTCATTCTGATTGTCAGTTATTATTCCTTGATCTGATATTTCGGTATCTATATGAGATTTGTTAAGCATATCTAATGGAGTTTCTGGTTGAACTTCAGCTGCAGGATTTTTCTCCACATTTATTACTTCCAGATCTTTGGGTCCTGTTTCCTCAATTAGGGTTTCCTCGATAAGAGATTCTTCATCCACCTCCGGTACAGTGACCTCTGCTTTGGAGTTAACTTCTGTAATGATTCCTTCAGCGACTAGTTGTGCAATTAAATCTTGGACAAGAGGGTCTTCTGTTGTGGGTTGCTTCGAAGGATCTGCAACTGTTTCAGGAGCTTCTGTCTGCACATCTGCAAGTGCAGCAGCTGTGGAATCAGTAAATTCTGGGAATATTCCTGAGGGTGAATTTGTTTCCTCTATTTCTGGTTCAGTTGATGTTAAAACCTTTGGTGTTGTGTGCGGGAAAGGAATTTCGGTTTCATCAATTGCTGTTAGCTTCGACGTGGTTGAAACTTCAGGTTCAGATGTAAATATTGATACAAATGGAAGAGATTCCGGAGTTGGGGTAGTCTGTGCGATAGAAGGTTGAGAGGAATGTAGTGCCTGGGTTGTTGGTGGCAACTCTGAAGTTGCAATAGTTTCAATTATTGTTGATAGAATTTCATCAAGTGGCATTTCTGTTGGTTCAAAATCTTCATCTGTGTGGACCATCAAAACAGGATTGTCTGTCACTGTAATGGTGGACTGAGTGGCTGTATCAGCTGTCTCCAGTGGTTTCACTGTTACCTCCTCCAAGATGGTCAGGACTTCTTCAGTTGTAGTCTTTCCTGCAAGTCCACTTGCCCCAAGCATGGCAGCAATCCTCTCCCTGATGCTCTGAACCTTTGAGTTTGTTCTTTCCGTAGTTATAAAACTGGTTATGGGAACTCTCTGAGTGGTAGTCGTTGTAGGGACACGTTCTGTAACTTCTAAAGCTGGTGCCTCTGGCTCATAATCAGTAATATAATCATAATCTTCATCAATAGCTGAGCCTGGAATTTCTGTTGTAGTTGTGGTTGTTGATGGAGGTGGTGTAGGGGTTGTGGTTCGTTTGGTTGTAGTTCTCAAATGCTTAGGTACAAACCTATTGTTTTGCCTATGAAGCTCAAGTCTTTCTCTAATAGTAAGAGGCTTCTTCGTTGTGAAACCGATGACAAAGGGTCGTCTGGTGGCTCGGAAACCTGAGGAGGAGTTTTTATCATCACTGATTCTGTTTCTTCTACCACCAGTCTGTGTCCGCGATGCAAAGACCCTGTCTCTGAGGCGGCTGTTAAAGTTACTTCCTGCTTGCCTTTGCGGTGTCCTTCTCCGAGGGGGGACTTGATTATCCTGGACATTGTTATCTTCCCGCTCTTGCTCTCTACGACGCGGTCTGCCCGTTGTTGATGTGAGGCGTCTTTGCCGGAGCTTTTGGAGCCGTTCCAGAAATGCCTGAGTGCGAGTA